ATTACACATCAATATGCCTTGGTCTCATTTATGGATATCTTTGATTATGCAGTAAAAGGAAATGATCTCACTGAAGTCCAGGCTTTCTGACATCACTGTGTCTTTTTGACTGAGGTGACCAAGGTGGGGTTTGTAGTCAGATATGTCTAGCATTGGTAGATTTGCAGAAATACATACATCTTATCTCATATTTGGTGAGGTAATGGAGCTCCGTAAAATGGTACCGCCTTAAAACTAAATAGTGGATTTACCAATCTTAGGGACTGCGATGGGTTCATGTTAATTGTGATGGACTATGATGGATTTGGATTTATCCTTCAAACAAAGAGGAAATTACAGTTTGGAGCTTAAAACCCACCATTACATCTATGATCGAACGAGGTCATGGGTCAAAGTAACTTCAACAAACTCTTTCAAATGATAAAAGTAATGAACTGTCTGTTTCTTCCGGCTATCTTTAAGTCTTTAGTTGGAACGGCACGCCTTAGGTTTTTGATTAATACAGAAATGAGAAAAAAACTCTTACGTGATTGATCTGCTTTTAGTCATCTTTGATTTGTATGAAACCTGAAATCACTGAAATGCCTGAGAATGTCGGTGTCTGTGCGTATGCATGAAGGAAGAGTCCATGTCTGTGCACAGAGAATGCAAATCTGGAAAGTGTTGAAAGAGATTACATTATTATCCCTAAGAAGAAAGTAGTGAGTGGAGCAGGGTTTGCAGTGAGTCAGCCCTGTAATTAAAGAGAAGCAATCAATCTGTACCACTGACCACACTACTTATGCCAAGTCCATCGAATGGCTGCAGTAAAGAGCTAATTTAGAACCATTAGGGACTGCCGAGTTTGCAAACAGCCCAGTAATGATGATGGCTGATTCAAGTTCAAGGCTTGGCCTCTGTATAACTGTCAGACCTGACAGTCATAAGGCAGAATCAGTGGAAGATCTTAGACGAAGAGAAAGAGCTAAATATCTATTACATTTTATTTCCTTGTTGAAATTTGTATTAAATGGTTGTTGGGCTATTGGTCAAACCCTCCAGTTTCTTCAGCAGACATAAAGGCTTTGACCTGCCGAGAACAAGAGCTCAAAAGCTTCCTCTTTTACCAGACTATTGTGTAATCATGTCTAACTGCCCTTTTGTCTTGGTGAAAAAGATGCCAATGGAGCACAAGCTGAGAGCCTTGCACACATGCTAGTTACACAGAAAACAATTTCAGTCCAGTCAGAAAACTGTCTTCACAGTGGCCCCCTCTGCATACAGTAAGACCTCAAACACAATGGAGGACAGAGATACAAAGGTATAAATGCTGGATGAGGCAGCCAGCCATGTCTGTCTTCTTCCTTGTCTGCTCCAGTGTCTTGCTGGCAGGCAGCCCTCCAAGGGGACATGACCTGAAAGTGTAACAGTGCTCAGTTTGGTCTGCCTGTGACCTCTCTGTCATGTAGCTCCACTATGCGCGTCATCATAAACCCCCCTTGCATCTTATGCTCTGACGTCCCTCAATGGAAAACGCATAGCTGAATAATAGTAGACAACTATAAAGAGACTATAAAGGTCACATAGTGATCTAATGAAACGGTCTGCGAGAGTATAACCTTTCATCCCCGTTCATTAGTGGTGTCACCTTCTGAGGAAGCAACTATTTATAGACACCGGTATGTAATAATATTTGTATCGGAGGAATGTTTACTTTGAGAGAGAGCAACGAAGCCTCTGTTATCTCTGAGAGTTTTATGCATAGATTGTGAATAAGAAGTGGACGTGATCACATTGACGTGATCCATTGGTTCGTGGACTGACATTTTGAAGCCTCGAGTTCATCATTTTGGCCATTGCCATCTTGTTTTTTGTCCGTTGCATCTTGACACAAGACGGTGAAGCTAAGTACAACCAAACACAGAATAAGACATTTTTCGGTGAGCAAAATGGTTACGATGGACTTTCATGGAGTGACAACACAGTGGGAAAGGGTTAAAGTTGTAAGACCAAAATAATGACAATACCCAGACTGGATAACACCATGGAAGCAACCTGTCAATCACAAGGTAGCCATGCCCTATAGCATACACTGCTTTATTGCTTATTTTACACTAAATGGAATCATAATTTACTAAATGAAAATCACACTGTACTTAAGAAGACTTGAAACTATAAATTCAGACCATAAACTCATGTTTACAATGTTTACTGAGGTAATAAATCAAGTTAGAAGCAGCAGCATGTTTTTATAGACTTCTATACAACTGGACTTCTTACAGCGTTCAGGCCCTGCTGGCCATTAGAAAGAATGCAAGTTTAAGGTACTTCCGCATTGGCGTCACTTGTCGGACTTGGAGGTTGCCGCCTGCTTGTAAGCAATACGAGGAAAATCTCCTCGTCACGGCTGAGTCCTATCAGTCACATACTGTCAGAATATTCTTTCTAATCTCCCCCTCTCCATAAAAAAAAAAAAAAACTTTTGTGGCTGCCGTGCAAGAGAGCCCTGACAGCATGCCAGTAACACTGGATTTTTGCAATCAACTGTCACAGTGCTATCACTGATCCTCAAATGTTCTTCATTTTGTTCCATTCAGACAAATGGGAGAGCTGTTTGAGATTCCCGGCACATAATGCTTTCACATGCTCCCTGTCTCATTTGCATACCATGCAGTAGCTCTCGTCTTAACACAGGAATACACTAGTGCGATCTCCTTGACCTTGTTTCCAATTGCTGATAAAGGACCAGAAGGTGACCACATTCTCACCAAGATTCCTTCTCACTTGCCTAGATCAGCAAACTGTGTTGTCTGATCTGCAAGTGCTGACCTAAGATTATTCTACCTCTCCCAACCCTCCGCATATTAATGAAGACCAGATGAAAGGGAGCCCGCCAGAATAAGCACTCAAATCCACAATGAAAACTAGTGAATGGGGATTTTTTTTTTTAATTGCAGATTCACTGGTCCAGCTGGTTAGAGATATTAGTCAAGACTTCACTGCACCCACACTGGTCTGATTCAGTCCTTGGTCATTTTAAATGTGTTGTGCTGATGGGTATGCTCTCTGATAAATTGGACAAACAAATGTTTCCCATGTTTTTTTTAGTCTGTATTTTTTTTATTTTGTAAATCAAAGGTTTTAGTCATAAGAGCAACAGACCAAAATGCCACCCCCATGCACTAATTAACTAACAGCACTTGAAGACTAAGATGAGCTTATCTGTGACGAAGATCTGCAGTGTGATGTTACAGTAGATGACCAGTCTCAATGTGTTGCTCCACTCGCGCTGTATGTAGACTATGACACTATATACTCATTTGTTTAATAGATTTAAATATACATCTAATAGTTGCAATCCTCAAGATTTCAGCCCCGGTTGATTTGGTGACACCAGTGGTTACCGTAATAACAGAAATAGCAGTTTAATTCTGCAGCAAACACTCCCTGAACAGCTACTTTGTCAGAAATACAGCAACATGGTGTCTGTTTACAGTGCAACCAAACAAACTCACATTGTTTAAATAACAAATTTGGATAAAAATATGTGCAGCTGTAAGACAGCATATTAAGGCCATTGTAAGTCAAAAATAATAGTGATGACAGAGCGGGGGGGAGAATAAAGAAGAGCAAGATAGATGCAAACAGGCTTACATATAACAAACTATGTAGAACGTAAATACATTGAGAGGCTATTTTTGAAAAATGCCAACCATAAATAGCATCAATAACACGGTTTGATTAGATGAAAGTCTTAAGGATTCTAACTTTAAAGTAAATGCAGTTTTCTAACTCTGAGGTCAGAATACGTTTTGTTTGGTAATTTTAAAAACCCATTTAGAGCAAATTAAAACTGACTAATGTAAAGTGTTAACAAGATTTCCTGTCAGTAATTTAAATGAATAGTGAACAACATTGAATATGTGACACTATGCTCTCATTCATATCTACCAGAAAAGAGCCCTTTTATACTTCATCAACAGTATCCCAATTACATCTTCTCTCCTTGCATTCATCTCAGTTCTGTTTGACAGCATACCTCCAACCCATTATAACCTTCCTTCCAATCATGATGCTTTTGCAAGGGAATATGGCAGCTGCCTGCAGCCTTTGATTTCGTCTTGTCCCAGATCTGCATTGTAATGAGCACTCAGGTCAATCAATAATACACTGCAGTTTCAGTTATGAAAAATGAAGAAGAAAAAAAAAAACAGATCAGCTCATTGGTAAAACAGGAAAATGACTTTGATCAGTGGCATGGAGAAGCGCATATAGCCGTTGTGAGGCTTTCTTCTAGAAGGGAAGACATGGGGGATCAAATGCATCTGAGGGGGGTAGATTGAATCACTAGATTGAATCACTTGTAATGCTGACATTTCTGTGTGTATTGTATGTATGGTGGCGGAATCTCATCTGCGTTGATTGATGGCAGAGTTGATTGTTATTTAGAGAGTCATGCTGTGGCCTGTGCAAAGCTTTTCGTGCCTCAAACCGCACCATCTACTTTAGTTTCCGAGTAAGTAAAGGGTAATCTGTTTCTCACTGTGAAGTCATTACCTTCCCCGAATGAGCAACCCACACATGTGGTTTTTATTTTCTGAAGGAAAATAATTTGTATAAAAACCCAAATGCCGTCCGTTGTTGAGCACTCTTATTAAATGGGAATTGACTGTGTGATGAGGTTAGGTGCCATGCAGTGAAATCCTTGCAGGTGCCATTTGTCTTATGTGGTTCAGACTTCCTGATTCACTATGTTGTGAGGAAAAGCAATATATCAGACTGATAACTGTACTGTATGTTGAAACGACAATAGTGAAGTCCTTACATGCAAATAACATTCTGCACTCAGCAAAATGTATGCACATTACATATTGAATGATAACGTAATTTAATATCTACATACGTCCACATAGTTTACATGAATTGCACAATCCGTAGTGGTTAATAATATGCAACCCATTCATTATCCTATTGTTATCATTTAGCTAATGCCCTCTCTTTCCCTGTGTCTTTATCGTTAGTTCCCCCAGAGGATCCAGTCATCAGTGGAGGGCCGGTGGTGAGCCTAAGGGCGGGTGACCCCCTCAATCTGACCTGCCATGCTAACAATGCCAAGCCGGCAGCCTCAATCCTCTGGATCCGCAACGGAGAGGTCCTGAATGGGGCCATGTACTCCAAGGTAAGCATAGAGGTGTGTGGGAGAGGGTTACATGGTGGCTGTGCTTTCTATCTCTAGACCAGTGTGTTTTTATCAAAGTAACCTGAGATAAGGAATGAAGACACCTGTCACGTTACATTTGTTGCATGTCTTCCTTTGCTGTAAATAACTGCTACAAAAGTGCTTAACACCCGTGAGATGTTTCGGAGTGACTGCTTGAGTCATCGGTGGGCGTTTGCCTCAACATCCAAACTGCTTTTTGAAATGAAGTCCCTTGAAAATCCAGGTTGTGTTTTGATTGCAAAAAAGAAAAAAGAAAAAAAAGAGAAGTCTGGCCTTTTTTCCCAGTAAACAAATCAACTCAGACAAGCAGATGGCGAGATCGGGGAACTATCAGTGACTTCACGTTTCTCTCTGTTTTTTTGATCTCCTTCTTCAGTGGCATTTGTCTCTCTTCATGTTCCCAACCTGTTATGAAATCCACTATGTCACTTTCCATGCCGGAATCTGCCCGAACGTTTTCACGGAGAAGTCTGATTCTCTCTGACAGATCACGTTCCCACTTTTGATGTCATTGCACACAGTCGCCGCTGTTTATGCCAGCCGAGTGGGGTGATCCCCTGACCCCGTGGACTCTTGGCTGGTATTCACCCTCAAGGCTAATCATGCAATCCATGCTGTCATGTTCTATTTTCTATTTAAACAAAGGACCTAAAGAGATCAGGCACTTTAGAGCACTAACACCTCCCCCGCCTTCCCTCACTCCCTGCGCTGCCTCATCCCATTATCGGCTTTTTTCAAAGAGCAGATAAATGTCATTGATTGTACGGGGGTACGGCACCAGGCCGATTTGAATAAAGCAATTGCTTGAGGTGCCGCTTGCTAATGGTGGGCGGAGAACACGTTTCCTGTCTTCACTTCCTTTCAGAGCGAAGGCAGATATGAGGACATTCTGTGCTGGTAGCTGATGGATGCTCACATGTCTGCTCAGAACCCAAGCATGTCCCTACCATTAAAAAGCAATGGTTTGGAATAAAGGAAGATGAGTGTTTTTTTGGGAGGGTCCAAACAGCAGTAGGGGGACATTTTGTAAGCATAATCATCTGCTCTGATGGTCTTCCCATGTCCCGCAGATCAAGAGGACTAATGAGAGCAGATGTGGTGGAGGATTCACAAAAATGGCTGATGGTGTCATATCTAATGATAGTTCTGACCCAAAGATAATTTCCCACTAAGGCCTGCACAAGCTCATCTATATGATCTCTTAGGAAACTATTTACTGGACCAGTGGTTTAAGAGAGTGTATGATTAAGGCTATCGCTTAGCAAAAATGTGTGTCGGTTTTACCATATAAGAGAGTCACTGAATTGCACAGCTTATCATTAGTGAGGGTAGCTTTCAAAGGACAGAACTTTAGTATATTATGTAGGGGGATCTCCAAATAAATATGTGGCAGAAGCTTTTCACTGTAGGGTGAATGGTTCAAATACCAAGACTAGCTGTGAAAATGTGGGCAGAGGAAATTAATGAATAATGTTCTCTCTTCCCTCAAACACTCATCTCCCATCTGCTCCAGTGGAGCTGCTCAGTGGCAAACAGCAAAGGACTGTTTGCAATATGCAGCCTCCGGGTCTGAGCTGTGGTTTGGAGGTGTGCACACTTGCTGTAAGAGACGTTTGCACTGGAATGGTACAACAAATTATTTGAAAAAAAACCTGATGCATTCTCCTCCCCAATCTGCTACATTTTTTTTCCTGAATGCTCTGGTGGAAAGCTGAGAGGTGAGCAGGAGACTGGAGAGTTATCTCAGTGTTGGGAGGTTTAAAAAAAATAAAAAATAGTGACATTTGTATGAGCTGTTCTTGCTGGCAAAGGCAGAATAGTGCTTTTTTATTGTATACCCTCTCAGCTTTGCTGTGAAATGGCATTGCTTTTTAACATCTGATAAAGTTTCAAAAGTTTACATGAAGCTGATACTATTGATGGATATTATTTTCAGCAGGAAAAAAATTATTATCGCTTTTCCAATCCTAGGTCTTCGCTATTTTTCCACCCCTCTGTCTTACAAGTGCTCAAAGCAGACGATAGTTTCATAATGTTTCTCTCTACCTTTCTTCATAGGAGTTCTTTGTTATTGGAGCTCTTTATTATATTTTAATCGTCGCACCCATTTGAGTAATAGGAAGGGGAAATACTGACAAATAAAGTTACTCAATTAAATCTGAGTGTTCATTAAACATGTTCACTTTTATTCTTTATGAGATCTATATGGTTTCCCCAGCAGCAGAGGAGAATATTAAGTCAATGAGCTTTGTACTTCCAACATTAATATAATTCATTGTGCCAGTTTTAAAAGATCTCAAATGATTTTGGCAAGCTAATTAACCTTATTCATTTAGGATTTAAAATAAAATGTATGACATGAAATATAAATCACTTGCTTTTAACAACTTTTTTAATTGTCTTTTTTTTGGGTTATGTTAAACAAAAGAAACCTATTTAACCTCAGTGACCAAAGTAAAAAAGGCATATTTTCCCTTCTGCATAAACTTATTGTACAACGTAAAAGCAATCAACTGTTTTAGTGAAATAACCCTTGTGTCGACCAGAATTATTACTAATTGAATACAACCCAGAGATACATTTGATTTCAAATCAAAGGTGTGTTGGATGGGTGAGCAAAATATTAATGATGTATGAGTTATTAGCTTTTGCTTACTTGGAAAATTCGACACAATCCCTGCGGGAGGTTTCCATACATCTCATAAAACGTTGGTCCCAATTCATAGTTATATTTAAAAAAAGCTTTATCATGTGCAAATATCTGAAATACATTCATCAAGACATTTTACAGTGATTGATTGGCCTGAAGACATTACAGCCACTTCCAGCAAACATGTGTATTACTGCAGAGTAGTACAATATTCTATCCACTCTAATATTAACAAGAGTTTACAGGATATGGTGAATATGTGCTGTGAGGTTTCTAACCTGCTATTTGCTAGTGGTGACTCATAACTCACTCCATTAGCAGTGGAGTGTTTTTTTGGTATGCACGTTGTAATCCAAATCATTTTTAAACTTGAATTCATGGATCAGCAGCACTGTTCAAATAGGTGAGTGGAATAAAGGTTACAGTGCCCGTTTAGGGCTAACAGTGAATTAGCTTGGCTGGCAACACATCAAGTGTTATTCAGTAGATAATCCATTTGGTTCAGCCGTATTTTTTAATTAGTAGATAACCCTCCTGTTAAATGAAAGTTGAGCTTGCCAGTTATAGCTTTAAGTAAAGCTAGCTTAGCTATCGTTATGTTGCGACAATCTGTCTCAATATAAAAGACAATCTGTCTCAATATAAAAGCCACAGTGACAAATAAGTATGGCACCGAAACATGATTCAAAAATGTGATAATGGCAGAGAGATGATGTAAATAAGCACAGCCCATACCAAGATTAAAAGCCAGCAAATATCAGACCCACATTCAACAGGTTGTCAAAAAGAGAGCGCCAGTGGGATGTCCTTGTTGCACAGTTTATGTTAATCAACTTGATAAGCAATAGGTTGGCTTATTGATGTGTGTTTTTTTTGCCTTTTTTTCCCTGCTTTCTTTACCAAGCATCATACCTTGAAAAAAACAACTATTTCGGTGTCAGTCTTGTTACTTTTTCCATTCCTCTCACAGCGTGGTTAAAAGTATTCTTCACATAGGCTCCATGCAGTGATATGAAAATGTATCAATTTGCAATGTAGCATGGTGTTGAATTCTATACAGCAGCCAGCCAACCCCCTTCCTAAGATTAATGACTTCAGACAGGTCCAGAGCGACGAAGGAAACAATCCCGATTGTGTCAGAAAGGATATTACATTGACATATCCCAGGTCTGACAGCTAATGCGTTCTGCTTTGGAAGTGACTCACGCACCACTCTGAATTTTATCACATGGTTCCTCACTTTCAAATGGACTTCACAGGAACATGGATGGCATCTATAATATCGGTTTACTTACAAAATGCTTATTAATATGCAGGAAAAATATGTTGTTTATCTTCAGTCCAATATTACAGACTTTCTACTGCAACTTAAGAGCTAGCTTTAGGTACTCAAACTATAAAGTGGTTAGATAAAAAGATTTCTTTTGAAGTGTCTTGATGTCTGCTTTTACAAGTTCAATGACATTTTAATTATATTATTCATAATGCGGTATGCTTAACAGAGGGGCATGTAGTTAGATTACAGTTTCAGCCTTGTATTAAAGTAGAGAAATGACAAGATAATTACCATTTTTTGTACATTGGCAATGAACCTTATTTGACTCTAATGCTGGATAGGTATTGATTATGGTGCTTGAAATATATATATGCTGCTTAGCATTTTTTAACTTTGTGAGAAAACTTAAATATACAGTAATGTACCTTGCTGCGTTTCAGCCATGACATCTCAACTTAATTTATCTAGAAACTTTAATCTTTTGTGTGGAGGAGTGTTGGTTTGCAGACGAAAATGTTTTATATATATATTTGATGTGTGACATGAATATTTTTCCTGCAAGTAAAGGAAATATCCATGAAGCAATCCATACATTTGTGAGGCTAATCCAAAGGTAGCAGTGCAGTAAAGCAAGTCCCGCGAGCTCACCCTGGTCAACAAAGCACTTCTGTTCTATTTTAAGTAAATGTTTGATGCACTCCACTATAGCAAAGGGCCTTCTTCTTCAAATACACAAAGCAACAGTGAGCCTCCTTTAAAGAGATGGCAGGGAAATGCATCTTGACTTTGTGGTTGACCACACTGTGCCCCGTTGCCCACGCAATTTGTTCTAGTCAGTGACTTTGTTCTGCACCGCACTGGTTAACATAGATTCCCAGCGCCTTCCCCAGAGCGTTTTGGGGAGAGTGAGAGCTACTGAGAGCTACCAAGCGATTCCAGATGGCTTCCACAATGTAGGGCTCAGAGGATGAGCGCTGAAAAGAAGATTGATTTCCTTTGTGGAGTATGACAAGCCATGCACTAGAGCGCAGCTCTCCAGACACACAAAAAAGGCAAATAAATATATATCTCTCCTTTTTTTTCATATCAATCAGCTTTGCAGTAAAACTTCAGGCTAGATAGTTCTGAGTTTGCCTGTGGTCCCTCAAGGGACAACATGTGTGTATTCATGAATTTGCTGCTGTTTTGTTGTTGTTTTTCCCACTTTTATACCTTCTCTGTCAAAGCTTATCTGGTGAACTGTTTGTTACATAATTTGTCTCTGTTTGTATATCATTTAAACACTTTAGAATTTCAAATTGGATTCGAGTTATTGAGGATACAATCCAATATGGATTTGACTCTGAAGTTCGGTTTTGCTGTTTTTAGTGTTTACCGCCCAAAATCAAAATAGTTGGAGATTCTGTTTATTGATTATGAAAACAATCCAAGGTCTCAAGCACAGCAATCGATAAGACAAATCAACCAACCTCATGGTAAAGATTTAGAGGCCGATAACATTTCAACCACACAAACTGCCTGCGACGTTCAAGCCAACTTTACTCAACTTTGCTTTACTCTTTGCAGACCTTGCTCCGGGACGGCAGGAGAGAAAGTACAGTGAGCACGCTCTACCTATCGCCTTCCAACATCGAGACGGGTCAGCAGATCATATGTAAGGCCTCCAACAAGGCAGTCCCCAACGGCAAGGAGACCAGTGTCACAATTGACATCCAACGTAAGCATACCACTTCTCCCTCTCTGTCTCTTTGTTCATTGCTGTCAGTGTCTCTCCCGTCCCTTTTACTCTCCAACTTTTTGTTACGTGATTGTTTTTTGAAGTCCCTTGGTTAGCAATCAGTGCAGATGGGAGGGGGGGGGGGGAGTCTGCATATGGCATGCATTACTCAGTATTTGAGGGATTTCTCTCATGTAGAGGCGTGAAACTGTCTGTCAGGCATACGTGACTGACACTCTGTAAACATCTAGGATTCATTTTAGGCTCTGATGGATATGTATAATTGGTTTCCATTTTGCTTTCATGCCATGTAGGTGGGTGGATGGATTGATGATGCATCGCTTTTTTTTTTTTTGTTCACTATGATAAAATATCAAAGGTGCTGTCCATGTAAAATGAATAGTATTGTCTTTTTTGGTTCAACTACCTGCCTGCAGTTGCGCTCTGCACACTGTCTCCACCTCTTGTATTTCCTTGCTCTTGCCATCAATCTTTTTGACGAGAGCATGCACAATTCCCGTCTAACACAGGCAAAGTAAGCCCAGCGTGTAAAACACATTCAGCCTCAATTGTCAGGGAATCATTTTTTCGATCAAGAACCGTTCACAGTAAGAGAGGGGCTTTGAACAAAGGAATTTTGCATCACTCACGGCCCCTTCAACACCATTAAGTATGACTAATAAAGCAGAAAATGCTATTTGGAGAGGCAATATGACTGACGGCTCCATTCTCTTCATTATGTGCACCGCAAGAGGCAAGCATGGCAAGAGCGGCCACGGCACGATCAGGCCAACTCAGGCGCGGGAGTAAAAATGATTAACAGTTGCTGGTGTTTGCAACCCTTGCAGTTTGTGCTCGTCATATTGTTTTGACATGCAGTCAGAGAGGGAAGTCTTCCCACATGTAAACTGATTTGTCACCATGTATAATGATGTGTCTGTGATAAATGCTCGCCATCATAGCATCATCCTTGCTTCTGAATGTATGATTTAACCCTGAGAAATGAGTGCAGCAGATTTCTAATTAGCATTCCAAAAATATGCTCTTTACACAATTACAGCTCCCGACAACATTTTTCCACAGTGTGAGATCAAACTGAGCGACAGCAGAGACTAATTGTCGAGATTCAACTTGTCTCCCACAAGGCTTAGCCTCTCGTTTACCTCTCTCCCTCCTTCTCACTCCCCCAGCCCCCCATCAGACTTGTCAGGTAAAGTGTTCAGCACAGTTCAGCAGAGCCTCCAGAGTTTGTACCACTTTCAAATTAAGCTTCTCCTGAAATGAAACGTGCTGTAATTGAACTTTGATTCATTCATGTTGGGCATCAATTTGCTTAATTTCAACGCCGCCTTATTCGATTACAAGGTTCTTGGCTCAACAACAGCATCTAAAACACTGCATGTTAATTAAACAAAGACAAAGGAATATAAACTGTGATGCAGATGTACACCCCATCTACACTGTACTGTAGACACATGCAGTGAACACTAGATACATGTCTACTGCATCTTATGTGTTGTGTCTTGTAAAGGTTTACTCAAATCTATGTCTATCTTTTACTATGTTAAAATTGTGAGAATGGAGAATTGTGAGATTGGGAATCTGGAAACCACTCATGAATGCATCGCGCATTGCAAAGAAGAAGTGTAGTGAGAGGCAGTCTTTCTGTAACAATAAAAACAGGTGCAGGATGAATAAATGATGCAACACCGGCAGGCAGAACAGTAGCAGATTAAACTTGACCTCCTTCTCTTGAAGGACCAGACCACCATGTTCTGCATAGTTCTGGCGTGTGCATTTGCTCCTCCACAGAGGGCACTGTCTAATGGGGCGGAACGGGGGCTTGGCTTCTGGTGCACCAGCCTCAAATGTTTTCTCAAAAGAATCTTTTAGGTTTTTAAAATACCTTCAACTTTGTGTCATTTCCCCTCAGTCTCTCTGATTGGTCAGCTAAACAGTCATGTGAACTGTACTCTATAGTATAACAACAACAAAACTCCAAGCTTTGTAATGTTGTTCACGCCAGGGTTGGAAAATAGTGTCTATAAGAAAATAGGAAAAAAAACTGAGCATGGCCCAGACCCCCTTATGCTTGGGCTGAGCCCTTAATGCGTACAACGTCTGGCTCCGCCCCTGTGTGGGAGGATAGCCAAGTGGTAAATATTGATGGAAAGCTGCTGTTGTCATAGAAGGCAGCACACAAAAGCTGTGTCCTAACTCAGGGGTTGGATCCTTCAAAGGGTTCAGCCAACTGAAAATAAAATAATAAAACCATGACCATGTACTGTCATAGCTGATGAAAGAATATATTTCACCAGAAATTAGTAAGTATCTGTGCTAACATCACTACTTAAAAACATGATGGGTTCATCTATTGTCAGGCAAAAGAAAATGGCCAGACAAGAGAGCATGGATTACCTCTTTGGGGCAGGAGAAACAGAACAACACATGTTAATTTCTTCTGCCCACTATTATACTCTCTTATTGAGCCTTTCTCAGAGAAGGTGAAAGCCTTCACCCTTCAAGGCAAAGGTTCCTTCAGGCGCTCCATGTCCAACGTTAGCTTGTGAAATAAATGTAACATTTGACCATGTCTTCTTTACAATTATGCTGGGTGTTCCCTCTATTCTACAGCAAGAAGCAGTTCAAAGTCAGAATGTGACAACACTGTTTAATAATTGTTGGCAGCACAGATGTTAAATATGTTCAGAATGAATTGGTCCTTGTAATGCTGTATACGATCAAATATTATTCATAGATGTAGACCTAATGTAATAGGTAACATTTCAAGCTTTCATCTGAGAGTGATTATTTAGTTTGCCCATAGTTCAGAAGAGAAAGCCCTAGAGAGATGCAATGTTGCATAGTAGTCATGTTTTGTTCATGTGCACATTCTGTGTGTTCTGTGATTGTCCAAGGCTGGGCACAACAAAATGCTGCCTGCTTCTGTGCATCTAAATTCTTAATATGTACTTACACTAAGCATGAATAATTGCCATCAACATATAGAGAGCTATGAAACTTGCCATTTGCAAGAGCTAGAGTCTACATTTAGTTTCATGAAAATTCATTAATTTACATATATATATATATATATATATATATATAGTTTTTGTTTTTGGTTGTATTTTAAGAAAAGGGCAGTTTCCGTGTTTGAGAAAAAACAAGACAACTGAAAAAACAATTATACAATCTCATTATCTTGGACGGAGATTGCTGCTCTATGATTATGTTTTCCACACATAAAAATAGTCATAATTTCTTGCCATGTTTGTAGTAAATAACAAATTATATTTCACGTTAATTTGCATGTCCTGCACATACATGTGGTGCTGCAATATGCACCAGTCATGTAAGAAAGATGGAGAGATTAATGTCAGTCTCCAGTGAACGGCTACGATTAGTCTTAAATTGGACCCTGTTGAGGGCCGGACACACTGAGTTGCTGAGGCTAGAGTGCACACTGCAACCACTCTGGTCCTTCCAAAGTCTCATTGAGTTCCATGAAAGTCCCTTTGATCTTTGGGTAGAGCTTTTACCCCATTTTTGGTCAGGGGAACGAAGTCAAAAGTGGAAAGTGCGACCTAAGTACTCCTAGGTCCACTCGTCTAAATTAGATTTAACTTGCTGAGTTGTATGAGCCTTCAAGTGTCGTTTAATTTGACTTTTCCTAATCATAAGTAGGAAATTATGAGTCGACAGCAAACAGAACACGGTTAATACCTTGCAAATATGTCTCTGACATTGTGTGTTCTGGCTCTATCTTGAAGACTTAGATTAAATGTATGCTGATGCTCTGATCTGATATCTCTCTGGAAGACAGAAAATGAGTTACTGTCTCCAAATGGTTGTGTAGTCCCTGAAACCGTGGATACTGAGCATTTACACTTTCTGAATAAATGCTGGTATTTCCATAATGCATGTCTCTTTGTGTGTAGTAAGTCTCAATATTCAGAATTAATAGTGTCATTTATTTTCCTGCCTAGAGTGTTTCGAATTGACGGTATTAGTGAGATAATATTAATGGCATCAAAAGCAATTAAAATCTTCTCAGTCTGTCTGCCCTTCTCAGCATTTCGTATTCCGCTCACCTCTAAGCCTAGGTGCCCTTTTTTTTTCTCTGCTCCATCCTTACATCAATCCAAATGAGAGTAATCTAAACAAAACCCGGCACATAGCTCTATAGCTTAACTTAAACCAGCTTAAAATCGTATGCATTCCACACCGGTATTTTCTTTTATCATCACTTTAATGCTCATGATTTACATCCACCTCAGCATTTTCCTTCCTACAGAAGTTCATACATAGTTATCTGACCAAGGGTTGGACAAATTAGCATCTAAATACAGTATGTACAGGTGATGTTGCCAAAATGAGACGGATTTAAAGCCAATTGAGGTGCTTCAGACCCCTGGATAGACTGCTGAATTCAGTTGTCCATATACCAGTCCATTAGCAGACTGTAATTATTTGATAGCTGACGGGTGGCTACCCCCTGATGCTGTTTTCTCCAGCAGCATGACTTAACTTGCATTATGCCTTTTTGACTTTAATCACTAAACTCTGCTAGCCTCCGGCACAAAACCACTGCGGTGAAATGTGATTCTGATGCCACAGTTTCATCCTTCTCTTCCTCAAAAATTTTCTAGTCCAGCTGCATATCTGCAGAGCATTGCCCCACATAGAAAACACGCTTTCAAACACGTAGTGGGAAAATGAATGCGCTAGGGACGAGCAAAGCCAAGGTTCTCCATGTGTTTTCCATTGCAAACAAGCTGAGCCATGTGGGGGGAAATGAATGCCATTTGTTGAGACTAATTAATAAAGAACATGCAGATGTGCAACTGGGGAGGATTTGTTTTTGGTTTCAGCTACATGCTCTCCCTGCTTATTCAAGCAGATAATGGCAAATCCATGTGAAGGCAGATGACAGAATTGGAAAGTGAGAGGAAAAGAGTGAAGGATAATGGTGAAAGAAAAGGCTCAGAAATTTCTGTACGTGAGATAGCAGAACATCTGCCTTCATTAAACTGAGTAAATCCGTTGATGTTCCCATGGTTGAATATCTCATAATCAATATGCTGGACCTCAGGCTCTCAGTCAGTCTGTTCTCCCCTCAAGTATTCCACTCAGCCAGCCACATGACAGTGTGCCCATATTGCTAACGCTACATAAGCCACGAGTGGATGGCCCACAAACAACTTCCCCATCCTTCAGAGGCAGCCGACATTCCTGAAGTTGGGTCTTGCTGGAGAACAGCTGTCTACAGTGACCCAGAGAGATTGGAAACAGAGCTTTAAGAAAGGGGAAACAACAATTTATGTTGGCACTATCTCCAGGAAACAGAGAAGTTGGAAGATTGTTCCAAAAACACCATCTGGTCTCCACTTTGAACTAACCGATCAAAAGCTGTCGGCCAACTATAATACCACCCCCCCCATTCATCCTGTTGTTTTCACTGGAGCTCTGATCAGCCTACTATCCCCGTTTCCCTCTACTCATCTATCCCTCCCCCTCTCTATCCCTCACTACCACATCTCTTGACGAATTGAGGAAACAATCTTGCATATTGATGTAAGGTTGCATCAAATGCGCTCACTCAGCAGCTCATCTATTTATGCATCAGAGTGGCAAATGGACTTCTCTATGAAGTTGATGCATGTCATATCTAATAGGTTAAAGGTTGAAGAAGAGACAGCCCCTGATTCCCACCCAAGGCCTTTGGCAGACCTTTGACAGCATGGCTTTGCTCGTGGTTTTTCAAGAAGTTACAACTATCCAAGAAATTGCTGGTCTGACATAGAAATAGATGTACAGTCATCATGACATTAGCCCTTGCTGAGCGGGACTGAGGTCTTTTTATAAGTCTCAGTCTCAGTCATTTGAAAGGAACATTATTTAAAAGCCGGATTGACAGTAATGAGCATTTGTGTCCTTAGAAGTATCTTGGCGGGAAGACCAGAGAAAAGGGTTGGCAGGATTGAAAAGTACAGTATAGGAACACTTTTAGTGAGAAAGGCTTGAAAATTAGCCTCTACAATTAGCTTCTACATACACACTGTGTCTATGTGCTTCTTTCTGTACTCTCCAGCTTACTTGCTGGATTTTATTACCAGCGCTACCACATCACATCTGTCATTTTACACCGGAGGTTCCCTCTGCAAACGTTTTTGTCCACGCAATTAACCAGTCGCGATGCTGAAAACACCTACTGTGCTCAAGGCATGGCTAGGTTTTCTGTTTTATTATGACACCCACATGCCCTTTCATATGAACACAAACACCCCCTAAAATACATGCAAATGCACGGACACAGAGATGGCTGCTGAGTACCTGGAGAGACTTGCTGGTTCACTGTGGCCTGCAGTCTTCCAGGATTCACCATGTTGTTGTTTTCTTTACTGGCCTGGGGAGAGATGGCACAGGTGGAGCTCATGGATTTGAAAGCGGTGGGGTGGTTGGGATTGGGGGGGGTATGTCTCCTGATGGGGAATTCGGTGTGTGTGAGTAGGAGGAATATGGCACCTGGACCACCCCCTTCTCTGGGGCTTTGTGGCAGCTGAGCCAACGCAGAGCATCTGCACAGCCACAGGGTAAAAAGCAGTTTTCCTACACTTCATGCCCCCTCACACACACACACACACAGAATTACTCTCCATAACTATACACAGTTTTTTTTTTGGGCTTCATTACATGTTTGTGTGCTTCTTTAATTCTGTGTGGATCTCCCTGCCCATCGTTGCTATTCATCCAAATCCAAACACAGTCCCCAGTTGGTACATTAGTATTATTGAACGCAGAGCAGATAGACTCAGTGCACCTTTGAAACAGATGGCTGCACCAGCATCAAACCCAGAACCAGCTATTTCCCTATGTGATTAATCTACTGCCCATGATGCCTTACCAGTATGCCACTGGTACCACAAATGGCACACAGCTATGACGCTGTGGCGGAAACACCCAATTCACATGGATAACATTATACAAACTATTTTATTAAATAACATGAGACACACATATTGGTTAATTGCATGGAAAGTTAAAATGAGAAAGAAAGATGTGCTACCATGAAGCACCATGTGTTTGACAATGTTTGTTGACAGCTATTTTACAAAGAGGATTGTTTCTTATAGGCAATACTCCATCCACCTGAACTATTCACATTATAAAAACACTTAAACAACCACTGGTCAGCTTGATCAATTTTCCCTCCCTGCATTTGAAGCTCCCAACAAAATACATACCTGCCTCCTTTTAGAACAGACTACTTGAAATTAATTTTCAATCTATGGGGTAAATAACTGTTTGTTTCACATGGGATGGGATTAATATGGAAATGAACACTTATCTTCAAAAACAAGCCCACCTTTGTCAATTAGGATAAATTAAGTTGTTTATTATATTTGCATAAGCTGTATGCTTGTTATTCTAAGAACTGTTTTACTGTGTAATGTACTGTATCAACAAGGTTGTTCGTTGTTTTAATTGCAGTGGTTTGCACCATGGACTATTCACTGTTTTCAAATTGCCATTTACCAAAACTCATTATCAAGTCAAGTTTGCCTTTGATTTTCTCCTTATAACGCCGCTAATGAATATACGAGAATAGAAATAGCATGCTCCCTCCCACACCTGTGAAATACATTAGTGTTATTCAGCAGCTGGGCCTAGACCTCCTTGGTGGGTGGAAAGACGATAACAATAGGGCATCAAATTATTCAGGAGTAATTGCCTATTATTTGGGAGAAAATGCTGCCACAAACTGTGATAAGATGTCACAACTGTTCTAAATGCTGGCACAGTGTGTTGTAAACTCATCCAAATAAAAATAGTTTGTCCTTGTGGTTTTACGTGAAACATATTTACCGACAGTACTGTATGTGTGGTACAGCTACATAAAAGGCTTTCAAATCACTTTTGGGTCACAGGAAAAAAAAAACATTTTGAAAATGTAGTTCCCCGAATAAAACTGAGAATGCGTTTTGCATGTCGGTGTGTTAGGCTGTTTTCTTTTGAGGTTGCATGTTTTCTAAACTATTTATAAGGTGTCTATTACGCATGTCTTCTCTGCAAAATGTCTGCTGCATTGTTTTTGTTTTCTCTCTCTCTCTCTCTCTCTCTCTCTCTCTCTCTCTCTCTCTCTCTCTCAGTGAGCTTTAATAATAAGCCACAGAAAATGTCAAAAACATGGTGTTTGTCTCTGTCATACAGTTCACTACAGGATGTTTGAGGAGGCTGCCAGATCTGTAATTGGTTGTCTTTGCGTCTCCATGTTTTTATTTGTAGATCTCCCACTTGTCAATCTCTCAGTGGAGCCTCAGCCTGTTCTGGAGGGCAACATTGTGAAATTCCACTGCTCTGCAAAGGCCAACCCTCCTGTCACACTCTACAGGTGAGATCATAAAAATAAGTGTTTTGAAAGCACAAAACTTGGATGATCCTGTAATGTAAAAAAGGAAGAAAAGGTGGTACAATTAACTTTAAATGAGGTGTTCTCAGATCAGTGTTGCTGGTGGATAATGCATTTTCACATTAGGGTTAGGGGGTCATTAATCATTGCCAAGGATCCTCTCACGATGCCATGACACCATTATATCTGCCCACAGTTTGGGATGAAGAGCAGAAAAACAATAAAACGCTTTCATGCTGATACAATATAATGAAAACACAGTATACCTCAGAAAAACCATTTGGGAAACCATGTACACGGCTTTGTTGCACAGCTGCTTGCTTTGTGATCATATCATCTCCCTTGAACATTAAATGTCCATCAGCGTGTTGCAGGAAAGCTGAAAAAACATAATGTGTATGACATCTGATGAAGCTGTCAAGAGTACAGCTTTTCTGAGATTGGGTTGTGCTCCACAGTATACAGTCAAAAGACAGGTTTTCCCCCAGGGGTCTGCTCTTGTTTTTTATGTGTGTGTTACATATGGCTGGTGGTTGGATATGGCTGAAATGAAATACTTTAGGTTTAAATTGAAGCCCATGCTTTATTTTATCCTTTTTTTTAAATCACTCAAATGTCCAAAAAATAGGATTTCACAAGTGAAATTATTCTCCATCGTGAGGGAGGATGAAAACACACATCTTCACTTTCATAAGATGCAGAGCTCACTCTCAGAAAAAAATCAAATATGCCAAAATATTCTTCAGTCTGATAAAAAAACAAAAAACAGTGTGGTTACAATAATCATTGACTTTTCTAAAGTTGACAATCTGTAGTCTAAAGACAACAGATTACAGGAATCATATGTTAAGGAAAATCGCCAAAGAGATTTCCATCTATTGTCTTCAACCGCTTATCCTGTCCAGGGTCGTGGGGAACTGGAACCAATCCCAGCTGCAATTGGGCGAAGGCAGGGTACACCCACAGCTTGCCAGACTATTGCAGAGGATTTATATGACCAGACATACATAGAGACAGCCAACTATTCATGCTCACATCCACGGGCAATTTTACAGTCATCAATTAACCTAAGCTGCATGTCTTTGGAGTGTGGGAGGAAGCCAGAGAACCCAGAGAGAACCCACACTGCCAGGGGGAGAACATGCAAACTCCACACAGAAGGCCCGTCTTGCCCGGGAATCGCACCCCGGGCCCCTCTTGCTGTGAGGCGACGGTGCCAGCCACCACACCCCTGTGCGATAAATTCCTCAATGTAGCTTTGCTGCTTTTAATCTCCGTGTCAATCCGGATGGTCTTTCAACCTGATGTTGTAACATCCTTGGACAGAAGGGGTTAAACAATCAAATTGTAAAGTTTGTGGGCCAAAGAAAATATCTCTGCCAGCTGTAATTGGATGTTCCTTCTCCCATGACATGCGATGAGCAGTGTTCTTAAAGTTCAACTATTTTTATCTTGGGGCACAGCCATCACACTCTGAAAAATTAAACGCTTGGGAACGCATGCGCGCCGCATGGTGCCGCTCCTGCCTTTTGAGCACGCCTGCCGTGTTCAATGGCCCCGTCCAGTCTTTATTTCATTTTCATTAATTTTGCTTACAGTTTTGAGAACATGTTTTCAGTTTGGCTATTTTGTAAAGGTTGTTGACAAAAACAAACCCATTTCATTTCAAATTGCAACAGCAGAAAATCTAGAAAATGTCAAGGGATTCCATTATTCTCTGAAGCTATTGTACAAATAGAACACCTTTCATAGTTGAACATCAACAGATGGCTGCCAATTTCATCCTCCAGCTAACCCTACAGATCTTTTACTGTATTTACTGTAAAGGTATCACCAGATGTTGATATTTGAAAAACTCTACAAAACCCCATATATATATATATATATATATATATATATATATATATATATATATA